ACAGCTGTCCGCAGTTGCTGGTAGTGAGCTTGGGGCACAATTGCCTATAGGCCTTTGCGCTGATTTAAATCTGTGACATGCAGAGATCATGCGTATTAGGTTGAATGGCGTTCTTGTCGCATATATAATTTATGTGTCCCACATCCATCATCTCATTGTTGGTTGTATAAATACTTTTCGGATGAAAAGCTCACTATCAGCTACACTGCGCTGACGAGCCCCAAAAGGGCGAAACAGCTGTCCGCAGTTGCTGGTAGTGAGCTTGGGGCACAATTGTCATTGCCTATAGGCGTTTGCGCTGATTTAAATCTGTGACATGCAGAGATCATGCGTATTAGGTTGAATGGCATTCTTGTCGTATATATATATATATATATATATATATATATATATATATATATATATATATATATATATATATATATATATATATATATATATACTATATATATATATATATATATATATATATATATATATATATATATATATATATATATATATATATATATATATATATATATATATATATATATATATATATATATATATATATATATATATATATATATATAAATTAAAATGGTTGCTTTTCATTAGGCCGTGTGTCGATAAGTATACCAGTTATTTACAATATTAAAAAGAAAATAAAGAAAAATACAGAGATAGAGATACATTCACTCTAATTTATTCCTTTCGTTCGAAATTTTAGCAGCAGCATGTCCAAAGGTGCGAACCATAGAATTTGTTTTCGGTTTTGGCAGTGCTAAAAATTTATTATTGCTTCTTAAATCATATCTTTCAGAATTTGATATTTTAAACTTTTCAGCTATATTTTTCGGGCAATTTCCGGTAATAGCTTTTGAAACATACGCACTTGCTTTTTCTTTTCTTTTTACGGATAGGTTTTTCCAATTCAACTTTTTAAAATATCTGTTGAACGTATATCATAAGTATCACCTGTAATGACCCTTGCTGCCCTGTTTTGAAGTTTCTGCAGTTTTTCCTTCAGGGATTCGCCGCAGTTGCCCCAAACCAAGGAGCAATACTCAAAATAAGGTTGAACCATAGAATTATAAAGAAATTGAAGCGTTTCTCTTTTAACAAACTGTTTAGCTCGTCGTAACATGCCGATGCCTTGAGATACTTTGTTACTTATGTTGTCTATTTGTTCATCCCAGCGTAATTGATCATCTATTATTATGCCTAAGACTTTTTCAGAAACGACTTGAGTTAAGTTTTTCCCACCGATGTTAATATTCATTTCACTTGAGAAATTTTTTAATTTCTGCCGTGTTCCGATAATCATATACTCTGTTTTACCAACATTCAAAGTTAATTTATTGGCTACTATCCACTGATGGATATTTTTCAAGTCTGAATTTAAAATGGCTTGCGAATAGTTAATATCATCGGAACACGCCGTCAAATTCATATCAGCACTACAGTTCTTAGACAGTTCGGGAGATCGTTGATATACAAGAGAAATACTGAATGGACCAAGATTTGAACCCTGTGGAACTCCACAGCGTATATTTTTTGTTGACGATGCTGCACTTCCCACCTTGCAAAATTGTTTTCGATCAAATAAATATGAAATAAACCACTTGAAGGCAGTATTTTGGGTAGTTTTTTTGCGAATAGTTTTTTGCGGGTTGCGGGTAGTTTTTTTAGCGGGTAGTTTTTTTTGCGGGTAGTTTTTTTTTAAATTTGATGTGCTATTTAATGAATAAATTTGAAATAGTATATAGAAAATATAATAGTTTTCACAACTATATTTGCTAATTCAATAATTATGAAGCCCCAGTTACACGATACTTATGCGATTGTTACTTTATTACCTGTGCCGAACAACGAGAACGAACAAATATCATTGAAATCGCGAAAGCTGATTGGTTTAGATATTTAAACATGTACGAATAGACCAAAGTCTGAACGAACGAGTGAACGAATGACGCAGTTAGTATGAGCCGAACTACGCCTATGGGAGATACGTTACAACCAATACGTTACAACCTACTGACAAAACGGGCATGTCTTATTACGCTTATAAAGCCTTTATCAAGTTCAAACTTTGGTATACGCTATTCGGTGTCACGCGTGTAAACAAGTATTCTTTCAGTCATTGCACGATCAAAGATTGTGTTTTTGACGGGGAAGTGTTCTGTGAAGTGGGCATATTTTTCTTGAAGTTAGAGCGCGCAACGAATACTTTGTTACATTAATTTGATAACTTCACTAACTTGTGTTTTAGTGGACTAAAAACGTTAACCGAAAGATCGGAAATTCATGATTTTCGATAAAACAAACAAACACGCTATTACAAGAGACGATCAATACCAGCGCAATTTGAATTTCATGGCAATTTAATACGATGTTTATTATAAACAATTAAACTGCCAAGAATCAATATTTTCGAACAAACAAATCTTTAATGGTACGATAAGGATTTTTTAAAGTTGCATATTTCATAGTGTAAATACTGCGGTTTGCAGAGTATGAGAAGGCAAGAATGTCTGTCGACACCACTTCTGTAATGAGCAATGCCGCGTTTTCCTGTTGTTTGCTGTCGGCCATATATTCGCGAGATGAGGCGTGATTTTGCACGGGAATACATTTTTGTTTGTAGTATTGGGAATGTTTTTCACATCGTGAAGTGCAAAAGAATACAAAATTTTCAATTTTTCATATGGAATTTCAAATGTTTTTAATTTATCGTGATTTTGCGAATTTTTAAAAAAATATATATCCTGGATTGCTGTATATATAAAAGCCGACGGACAGGATTGACTGAAAATAACGAGAATGTTTCTGTTATGTTTTATTGTGGCGTTGTACTTGCGACATGCATGGATGTTCCTAGGCTCAATTTAATTTAATTGTCGAATCATAATAAGACGACCGGTGTTTCCGAAATTTCCGTCCTAAGAAAGACAATTCTGTCCTAGCGGGGAAAAAAGAAGTTGAACTAGCTGTGGTGGACAGAGGGGAATACACTCTACATCCTGCCTTCGAAAGGCTGAGAGAAGTAGCCAGACAATCGGCGCAGATGTCGTACGACCAGCAGCAGACGGCTTTGAGCAAGATCCACTCCTGTAGTGTTGAAGATGTCTCAACCATTACAGCAGCAGTGTCAACCATTACAGCAGCAGTGTCTAAAGCCGATCAAACCCGATCTTGAAGGCCATACTAGATGCAGGGGTTGATTGGATACCCCGATACCCCTTGGCTTTGACAGCAGACAAGGCTGCTAAGTTGGGTAATGATGAAGCAACTGTTGCTTTACCGAGTGTTGGTACAATTGATACGTTTATTGTGCCATCAAGATCCGATCGAAAGAAGCCCCACATAGTAAATATTCATCCAAACGGGAAATGTGAATGTAACAATTGCCACGCGTATAAATCATCCTTTATATGAGCGCATGTGATTGCTGCATGTGTAAAGAAGTCCAGACTTATGGACTTTCTTCGCTGGCTTGTTACATCCAAGCGCAAAACAGGCGGTGTCAATTATAGTGAGGCTATTTCGTTTGGTATGCCAAAAGGAAGAGGAAGAAAAGGCGAGGCGGCACCTAGAAAGCGCAACAATCGCAAAGTTACCAAACAGTCTGTGACGTTACAGAGAGTACCTACTGAAAATACCCAACAGGTTCAACCAACTTCACCCACCAGTCCATCGACACAAGTCCCTCCACCAAACGCACCACATATCGAACCACGACAACCACAACCCCGAACATTTCCTACACAACCATTACCACAACAGATCGCAAATTCTCAGGAAATGACAAATTTCGTACAAAACCAGTAGGCCGTTTACCGTGACCTGAAAATATGCCTAGAAAACGATTTTCATTAAGCATTTTCACGGTAACTAACATTTTAGAACACGCTGAATTCAAATCCGAAAAGTTGCCGCTGCGTAGACCCGCAGTTTTTTCACAAATTGCATTTGTATTTTCAGTTCTTCGACGAACGAAAATAAACACGCGCCATTTTGAAATTAAATAACATCACTCAGAGTATGCCGTTTAACCCGTTTTTGCTCCCCAGTTTCCGATGCTCATGACCGAGTTAAGATTTAGAGCAATGTTATTAAATTTGCTGCAAAACAAACACAGTCACGTGGTTTTAAAAATGGCTAGTCAGAGTGATTTTCAGTTTATTTGCCAGTAAAATCCCTAAAGAATGAGAAATAAAAGTTTAAATTATTTATTTGGCAGAGAAAAGCAATAAGGTAGGTGTTCTCTGTGTATATTTTTTGAGTTTGTTTAAGGCTAATGGCCTATAGTATGGAAGAACAAACAAGTGATTATTGTGAACAACCATCACGATTTATTCAGGTTTAATAGCTCTCAGGCACATATAAGGCTAGTCTGCTTGAAAACTCACAGTAAAATTGTTCCATATCAAGTCTGCTGTTTATGGGAATTATTGTTGGTCATAAGGTGTAAAGTAATTTGTAGAAACTGTTATTCAAATATTGATTTATCACCCCATGAAATGTCAAGAAGGCCAACAAAACCATGAACATTTGCATAGTATAAATGATTATTATATCTGCATAACTTGCTGCTCTTTATTCCATGCTTTATTGCATCTTCAAGATTTAGACTGCTAGAATATATACACACAAGAATATGTAATAGGATATACAAATAAGATTCTGCATGAATAGATTGGGTCTAAACTTGTATTAATTCCGTCAATTACAAGGAAAGATGTTTGGCTGACAGAGATCAGCCTGGTTTTGAGATCTACAGTAGCCGCCCATATAAGCAGCCCTAAATTAGAATATCTACAATCCTGGAAAACTTATTGTGGTCAGTGTGCGCAAAAATACAAATACCTGCCTTGCCCAAACATACGTGCAAAAACAGCATTTTTTAACTGTTGAAAAGCTTCTAGATCGGTTTAGCGAAAGCTCTGTGACCGATAGGGGAGATTAAGATGCCAATATGTGTATGTGAACAGTAATACTTTAATCGTTCACACCTATAAGTGTCCACAGAATTTTTGCCATGATTGTAGCTATGGGTGGAAGCAAAACTGTGAGTTCAAAATATATTCAACAGCATAAATGTTTTGTACGCGTACGTTGCCCAATTTGGCAAAGTAATACTTTATATGTTGTTATGCTGGGTTTTTTCCAGCTTGACAGTAAACAAGCTGTTTGTTTTGTTTGATAACCTGTTAGAAATAAGAAAAATACATGAGTCCCAGGCAGCTGTGCTTGGATCTTAACCCTTTAAAGTAGTTGCATTGCTCCCCAATGCACCCTACTTTATTAGTCTACTCTGTCTAATGCCAGACAATTTTACTCGTCAAGTGGAAAAGTGCTGGCGCTCATGCAATAGGTTAAACACCCAGGTCACTAACCTGGTGCTCTAGAATTTTGAAACGAACCAATGAAAAACTGCCGATCATATTTCGCCGGTAGCTGTACGACATTAGCGTCGAATGACAGCAGACTGTCATCTCGTGGGCGTGGGGGAGCGGGATGCAGTCTGCGAGCAGACTAGAAATTCTATGCTTGCTTGTTATTATTATTCTAAATTCTCCCTATCACAACTTAACGCAATCTGGTCGGTATCGCAATCAAAGCTACCAAAGAACAAAGCTATCAAAAGGCATCAGCATGTTGTGACAAAATTTCCTTATGCTTATGCATATTTAAAAATAGGTGCATCAGTGCATGCCAACTCACTATCCAGTTTTCAATGCCATATACCCAGTAGCTACATGTGTTTTGCCAGAAAGATATTAATAAGAGGCTGGTAATTCTTTTAGGCTTAGCAGATCACGCAGAGTGGTGGAAAACTTATTTGGAATTTTAGCAAATCGATGGAGACTTTTGCTCAGACCGATACCGCTTAACCCAGATTTTATTAGTGATCTAACATTTGCCATGTTGACATTACATAATTTTCTGCGGCAAGGAAATTCTAGAGAAATTTATTGTCCAAAAGGTCTAGCTGATGAGATGAGATATTACTAGAGATCTTATACCTGGAACATGGAGACCAGCCAAACCGGACTCCCTGAATTCCCTCAATGTTCCAGCAACTGGTCACAATGCAAGTAAAAATGCTAAAGAAATCCGGGAAATATTGAAAGATTACTTCACCCATGAAGGTTGTGTACCATGGCAATGGGAAAGGGTATTAAATTTACCAAGAGAAGAATAATCACTGCCTTTCTTGGTAATTGTTTAGGTTGAGTGAACTGAAATTACTAAGTAAACTAATTGTACAATATCGCCAAATATTGGGTATTACATTAGTGTATTTTGCCAAAAAGTTTTGAAAATGAGTGTGCTGACATTGCATATTACAAAACTGGCCAATAAAATTGAATGCATGAAGCTTTGAATGGTTTATATAAATTTTAAACCCAACATAACTTTAGGAATATAATTGGACATTTTTACAATGTAATTAACAAAATCTATATGACATAATGTTATCAATTAAATATTTGAACTTTTGACAATTAATGTTAATGGTTAATAACACATGAGGGTCCAACAATTAACAAAGTTGGACTTTTTTGGGGGAATTTAATAGGGCCATGTATTAGGAAATCCCTGGGAATGAAATGATTGTGGGACGTAACTGACAGTATTTGTATTAACTCCATCTGTTCCTCCCATTTCAACCTCATATAAAACATCCATTATCTTTTCAGCAATGCTTCGTTGTCTTCTGTCAAAATGAGACAACTTTTCATTGATGTACATCCCAAATGAACTACCGGTTTCTTTTTCAGGAGATTCCTTCATGACTTTTATGCATTCTTTGTATAGTTCCTCTCTTGTTTTCTCTATTTGGCGTTTTCGGTTTATTGCACTAGTGCAACTGGTTCTGCATGTTGTTCTGATTACTGTCATTATCAACCTTTAAAGTATCCCGACTTTGCCTTGCTTCCTTGATAGGTATGAGGAATTGAAGCTGTTCCCAAAACATCCATTTCGGTCTAAAGTGCTCATCTGTCCCTTGCCCTGATTTCCAATGGGTTTTTTTCTTCAAGTTTTGACCCAAAGTGGCTCTCAAACATGTCATTTGCGACTGGATATCTTTCCATGATACGCCGAGAGCTTCCTGCGCAAGATGGGATAAATAATGAATATAATGTGATAGATAAACTATTGTAAATACATTTAGCTTTTTTTACGTACCAAAAATTCCTGCTTGGCTTTTGAGGTTTTTTCGATGTTGTGGTAGTCTTCTGAGAAGACGTCCCAAAGACAGGTTTTTTCTTCATACTGCTCAATTAATTTTTCAATTTCTGAGTTGGTCCATTTCCTTTTCCCTTTTCCTTTGATGTTTTCATTGTGAACATTTTCGTCAATATTTTCGGTGTTTTTTGAGGCCATTTTGTGATTTTGAACAACGTTTTCGATAGATAGATAGATAGGTTTATTAAAAAGAAACACATTGCAGTCTACAATGACTGAATTGCGTGTTATTTTACAAAAGAGGTTAAGTTCTATAGAGCTATAATTTACAGGAACATGTTAAATATAAAGTTAATAAAATATATACTATAAGTATTTATAAATAGATTTATGAAAATTTATGTTGAAAGGTTATTTAAAATTGAGTATCTAAGAAAATTCTTTATGCACGCCGGTATAAAAGTTTTTAAAAATCTATCTGTTTTTATCTTTGGAAGATGAAACTCTCGAGTTTTTCTGAAATCGTAGTTCGCAGAGTAACGTTCTGGCAGAAGGGATGATAATTTATGATGTGGATTGTTGATGAGTTGATTGAATAGTTTTGAACAGGCCTTGTATCGCCGATCACTGAGGGGAATAAGGTTGCATTTTTGCAAACGCTTGGGATACGGCAAGCCTGGAAAAATTATTGAGGTGACTCTTCTTTGAACTTGCTCAATGGCGTCACTAAGATAGGTAGGCAGGGCAAAATGGAAAACTTCGCAGCTGTACTCGAGTACTGGCCTTACACATGTGCAGTAAAAGTTAATTATATCTTTGGCGGGCACTTTTGCGCGTTTAAGCTGTATAATGAAGTATTTTCGTTTGTTGACCTTCTTGATCATTTCGGCAACGTGTTTGGACCATTTCAAGTCGTTACTGATTGTCAGTCCCAAAACTTTAGCATGATCAACTAGTTCGAGAATTCCAGAACTTAGGACAACATTGGGAAAAGGGCTTCTAACTGTCGTAAACTGAAACAGTAGTTCTTTACATTTTGGAACTTGAAGTTGGAGTTTATTCTGCACAGTCCAGTCTTCCAACTGGTTTACTCCTGTTTGAATGGTACTATGACTGTCTTTTGATATTACTTCAGCAGCAGTAGTATCGTCAATATATTTCCACATTTGGAAATCAGTTAAATTCAGATCGTTTATCATGAGTATAAAGAAATTTCCCGCGTTTTTTTTACGTACAGAATTATATATAACGCGTGCACAGCAGGGGACTAGGGACTATGATTTCCTTTGGTTTCCATGGAAACTGGTCTCAAAACACTTGCGCTTCCTGATCAAACGTATCGCAAGTGCTCGCAAGTTTAAAAAAGCTTGCGATGAAGTTTGAACCAGCTCAAATCATTCGCAAGTTATCGCAAATCAACGCAAGTCAACGCAAGTTGGTGGTCAAACGAGGCGCAAGCAAGTGCAAGTCAAAACTTGCGATGACTTGCGTTCTCGTTTGATCAGGGCTTAACACTAGACTATTTACTCATCAGGGGGAGAGTGCTGACACTCAAATACTCAATGGGTTAAAAAACATTGAAACAAAAGTTTAGCAGAAGCTGCAAAATTGTTTATTGGTGTCTGGTGTAATATTGACATTTCTTTTATTTGTAAGGATAGAGCTGGGGAACCTGTAGTGGTACAGTCTTGGCCCTACCCCAGTTTTCCTGTACTGCATGTGTTTTCGTCACTTCCCTGATTATACCATAAGTATTGTATCCCATGGACACCATCTTATCAGTTCTGCAGTTTTTTTACAATCTACCGTAAACCTCCAACTATAAGCACTGGGCTTACATTCTTTCGTAAGCAATTTTTGATGGGCTTACACAAGGGGGGCTTATACACGGGGGGGGGGCTTATATTCGGAGGTTTATGGTATGTATGGTTTCACGATTTTCAGTGTATAGTCTTCTCTTGCTCATCACGAATTAATAAATAGATCACACACTACATAATTGATGTTTATAAAATTTATTTATTTTAAAATCGAAAAAATGTTAACATAATATTACTGTACTTAAAGATAATTAAAATGTTTTTAAAAAAAAATTTATGTGAACAAATAAAGAGAATGTTTGTGATGTTACTCTGAGTGTATATCCACACCTTGAAACATATGCCCGGCCACGGTAGGAATCGAACCTACGACCTTTGGAACACTAGCCCAATGCTCTGCCAACTGAGCTACGCGGTCAGGACGGTTCGAGTAAGTGATATTTCGGAACAGAATCTAGTTCCTTCGATACCAATGTAATCTAGTAATATGATTTTTTTTCTGTGTTGGTGTTGTGTACTCAGGCGAATATGATCATGTTTGTGATGTTACTCTGAGTGTATATCTACACCGGGCGAGCTTGAAAAATATGCCCGGTCACGGTGGGAATCGAACCTACGACCTCTGGAACACTAGCCCAATGCTCTGCCAACTGAGCTACGCGGTCAGGACGGTTCGAGTAAGTGATATTTCGGAACAGAATCTAGTTCCTTCGATACCAATGTAATCTAGTAATATGATTTTTTTTTCTGTGTTGGTGTTGTGTACTCAGGTGAATATGATGTTTGTGATGTTACTCTGAGTGATCAGGATTCGAAGATGTGTATAACAATAACCATTTAATATAATTATAAATATGTACAAAACTTAGTCAGTATTCCAAATATAAAGCGAATAAACTGTTTTACTTATTACAATCCCACGCCATCTTGAACAACATAACATCAAAAGTCACGTGATAATCTACTGTCCATTTATATGTGCAGTTCAGTGTTTCAAATATAAATCTAACATAGAGTTGTGATCGACTAATTTCTGTTTATAACTGTTCGTTTCGTATCAATTCTCTTCGTTTCTCTGTAGCCTTGATTGCTGCTGCACGTCGAGGTCTCTGAGTTATAGACTCTTCTTTCTGAGGTTGGATTGTTGTTGAGCCCATGTCTGCTTTCTGTTGGGTTATGTCCTGATTACCGATTTCAATTGGGTACAGCTTTTGTATAGGACGTCGAAGCGTTGTTGGTTTCTTACCTCTCTCAGCGACTTTAGCTCCACGAACCTTACCATCATTACCAAGAACCAAGTGCATCACTCTGCCAAGTCGCCAAAGACTTCGAGAACGGTTTTCGTCATGCACGATTACGATATCATTTATCTTTATCAATTCTTTACTCGATGTACCGATTTCCTCTCTCTACGTGCTTCTCTCAATTCCAATAAATACTCGGTTTTCCACCTTCTCCAGAAATGATCTAGTAGAGAAGCCAAGTGCCTTTCTCATTTTGCAATATCCTTTGACGTTGGTTCCCAATCTTTATCTTCCACTTCGTCTTGCGTTGGCAAGGAAAGAAGTCTTCGACCATGCATGAGATGTGATGGTGTAACGGGTTCTTCGCAATCTTCTGTTGATGTATATGTTAGTGGTCTCGAATTCAGAATGGCTTCTATCTCGACAAGTTCCGTAAGGAGTTCTTCATACGTAAGTCGCGCGTTCCCTAGTGTTTTACGTAGACATCTTTTCACTGATTTGATCATTCTTTCGTAGAATCCACCACACCAAGGGGCCTTTTCGAGAATAAATGACCACTTGATCTTTGATGAGGTGAAATGGTTAATTATTCTTGGGCATTCAAATAGAGACATAAGTTTTCGCGAAGCCAATTTGAAGGTTTTTGCATTGTCTGATATAACCAGTGATGGTACTCCTCTTCTAGCGCAAAATCTCTGAAAGTTTCTTAGAAAGGCTTCGGTTGACATATCAGGCACCAGGTCGAGGTGTACCGCTCGAGTCACACAACATGTGTACAATGAGATCCATACCTTCGAATCAGGATTCTTTACATATAACGGTCCAGCGAAATCTACGCCAGTGTTAGCGAACGGAAAGTCCTCTTTCACGCGACATTCTGGCAATGGAGGAGGTGGTGGCGCACGGTAGGGTTCTCCTTCTTGTTTTCGGCAGACGACGCATTGATAGATGACGCTTCGTATGTACTGTCGGCCTCTAACTATCCAAAACCGCGACCGTAATTCAGTCAAGGTTGCCTTCGTTCCGCAGTGCTTCACTCTTTCATGGCAATATCTTATGATAAGACGTGTTAACTGATGCTGTGGATCGAGCAAGATAGGATGCTTCGCTGATTCGTGAATATTGGCATTCCTCTTCCACCGCATCTCGTTATCCCCTTCTCGTCGACAAATATTCCAAACTGCCGTCTCCAATCTTGATACTTCAATTGTCCGGGAAGTGATGTTTGCATTTCCTTTAGCCAGAGCGTTTCAGCTTCATTTATCTCTTCCGGCCAAGAATTCTTCAACCTTTCTTTGGATTTATCAGCTCTTCTCTTCACGTTGGCCTTCGATTTTCGAATAAATCTTAGAACATACACCTTAACTCTTAGAAGCCGATGGTAATTCGAGAATGTTGCAATGTTCATTATTTCCTTTATACCTTGACCTGTCGCTTCGGTTAACAGCGCAGTTGGTGAATGGTGTGGCTTCTTCTTCAGCTCTCGTAAACATTCTTCCGAAGGTGAAGGCTCATCTATCAATTCGTCGTTAGGTTGCAATTCTTCTGACAGCCATGGGGGTCCATTTCGCCAGAGTTCACACTGTCCGAGTTCTGAACACTTAATGCTTCGAGTTGGGATGTCTGCTGGATTATCTACGCCGGGGCAGTGTCGCCATGATGATAAACGGATAAGGCTTCGAATTTCATTAACTCTCAACTGGACCAACTGTTTCCATTCTTTGGTTTCGCCTCTTATCCAATATAAACTGACCAACGAATCTGTCCAACATACAACATTTTCATCCAGTTCTAGAACAGATTTGAGTGCTTCATAGGTATTCTTCATAAGTCGTGCAAGGATAACTGCAGATAAGAGTTCTAATCTTGGGATCGTTTGTTTCTGACTCGATGCTACTCTCGTCTTCGCTGTGACAAATGTTGCATATCTCCGCGTTGTGGTCGTAACTACAAGGTACACTACAGCTGCATAAGCTGAAATTAAGGCATCGCAGAACCCGTGAAGTTGGCGAGCTAATACCTTCTCCTTAATGTGCACAAAATAGCATCTAGGCAGTGTCATTGGTTTCGTTTCTTGCAAATCACCAACAAGTTTTAAGCACTTCAATTTCATTTTCTCGGTTATGGGTGCATCCCATTCAATTTCACTTTCTTACAAGGACTGAAATAATAGCTTCATTTGCACAATGATGGGTGAGATAAATCCAAGAGGATCATAAAATTTCGATGCGATACTGATGATATTCCTCTTCGTTGGTTCGCATTCCCTTGCTGCCTGAGCAATTGGTCCCCAATCAAACACAAAACAGTCCTCTTGATAGTTCCATTTAACTCCTAAAATCTTTTGTTCGCATTTCTCGACTGGCTCAGACAAGTTACCAGTTGTCTCCCTTGTGTATGACTGGTCATGTTCCATTCTCAATGTTTGGCTTGATCTCGATTCACCTTGATTAATACCTTCACTGGTTTGGAGGGTATCTTGTTCGTCATTGCAGTCTACAAGCAATTGGGCTTCATTCTCATTTATTCGGTTCATCAATGTAGGTGAGTTCGAAAGGAACTTTCTTAAGTTAAATCCTCCTTCTGCGAGTCGAAGCTTCGATTTCTTGTAAAGCAGGAACGCTTCATCATCGTTTTCATCACCTGCGTTTAAGTCGTCAACGTAAATGGGTTCAAGGAATTTTTCAACAAATTCTGGGTCAATGTTTCGATACTGTTCCATATGGTGCTTAACTGTTGCGTTCAGGAGGAAGGGACTTAAGGAAACTCCAAATACCACTCTTAAAACCGTAAACCGTAAAACCGTAAACCGTAGCGTTGTAATCTTTGGGTTGGGATTTTTAATGTCGTCCACCCATAAAAAGCGTAGGACATCTCGATCGGATTCTTAGATCAGCAGCATAAGAAAGGCCTTCTCAATGTTCCCTACAAGAGCGACTTTATGACAACGGAACCGAAGAAGAATATCAAGTATGTTTTGTGCCAATGAAGGACCTGTATATAGACAGTCGTTCAAAGATGGGCCATTGTCCTTTGCCGAGGAATCATATACAATTCTCATCTTCGTTGTGGATTTGTCTCTTCGTATTACTGCGTGGTGCGGAAGGTAATGGACCTTACCAATTTCTCCAGGGTGTTGCTCATCGACCACTTTCACAATTCCTTCCTTTAGTTGCTCCTTTATGACATTCCTTTAGTTGCTCCTTTATGACATTGTCATACTCTTGCAGTATCTCTGGATCCTTTCTCAATCGTGTTAGTAGATGCTTCAACCGTTTTTCGCTCAGTTGGTGGTTGTCAGGAAGGACAGGATGAGATTCCTTCCATGGTAATTCCACTTCGTACCGTTTATCTTTCAGCTTGATTGATTGTGTGAATTTCTCATAGACTGACTCGTCATTGGGGAAAACACCTAATGATTCTAATTCCCAGAATCTTCGTAATTCTTGTGTCATATCTGTTGCATCAGGGGTCAGTGGTTGTGTTGCAAACTTCAGAACATGCGTGTTCACCAAGTTAACACTGGTTTTCTCACTCACAGGATCTGTTACAGGACCAGATAGAACCCAGCCGACCTTTGTTCCCATTGCGTTGGGTCCAGAATCTCCCCGTCTAACTGCTCCAGTTATTAAATTCCAATATTGATCAGATCCCACCAAAATATCAACTTCTAAGTCTTATATGGCATCACAATATGGGGAAACACCTATCCTTCTACTGTTCAGCTGTGATATATTGACATTTATAGTTACATTGAAATAGATACTCGTAAATAGCAAGCCTGTTTGCAGGCTATTAGACATGGACCTTCGGGCTTAATAATTAACTTGAAGACTAAGACTATTATTGTACATGTGTTCGGAGTAATACAATATATAAATTTACATTGGTGGCAGCGGTGATTCTCGCTTTAAATTGTCGGAAATGGCAGAAATAAAACAAGCCTGTTATGACGGTACGGGGGATGTAGATTTGTGGCTTATGAAAATGAAGTTCTATTGTTCTACAAAGAAATTTGAAGGTAAACAAGAAGCTCACGCCATAGCGAGTAAACTCGAGGGGGCGTCGTTTCTATGTATTGCGAGATTAGACGATGAACTTCAAGATGACCCAAAAGAAGTTAAAGCCGCTTTAAGGAAGGAATTCGACAAAGAATCGATCGACCATGCGAAAGCTGTCAACGAATTACGAGGTTTAAGGCGAAAAGGCGGTGAAACACCAGCACAGTTAGCGTGGAGAATCGAAAAGTTGATGGCAAAGGCTTACACGGAGTTATGCGCGTCAACACATGGATCGGCAAAGAAAACAAAGGAACAAATTTTACATGATACCTTTTTGGGAGCTATTGACAATGCAATGAGTCGAAAGATAAAGAGCGACAGTAAACATCGAGATTTAAATTTAACACAACTTTCTGAAGAATTAGATCGGCTCGAGCTAATTTATAAAACAACAGC